AAACTCAAGTAGGGAGGGGGCTTCCAGGTCACAGGTAAGTGAGAGACAAATAGTTGCATTCTTTTGAGTTTCTGATTAGTCTTTCCAAAACAGGCAGTCAGATATGCATTTATCTCAGTGAACAGAGGGATGACTTTGAATAGAATGGGAGGCAGGTTTGCCCTAAGCAGTTCCCAGCTTGACTTTTCCCTTTAGCTTAGTGATTTTGGGGCCCCAAGACTTATTTTGCTATAACAGCTTAAGCAACAGAAATTAATTTTCTCACAATTCTGGAGGCTGGAATTCCAAGACCAAGGTGTCAGCAGAGTTGGTTTCTTCTGAGGCCTCTCTCCTTGGCTCATAGATGGCTGTCTGTTCCCTACATCTTCACATTATCTTCCCTCTGTACATGTCTGTGTCCCAATCTCCTCTTTTTCACCCTAATGACCTAAACTTAGCTCAGTCACCTCTTTGAAGGCCCTATCTCCAAAGACAGTCACATTCTAAAGTATTAGGATTAGGGCCAGGTGTGGTGGCTCACACCTGTAGTCCCAGCACTTTGGGGGACTGAGGCGGGAGGATCACTTGAGGTCATGAATTTAAGACCAGCCTGGCCAACATAGTGAAACCCTGTCTCTACTAAAAATACAAAAATTAGCTGGATGTCGTGGTGCGTACCTGCAATCCCAGCTACTTGGGAGGCTGGGACAGAAGAATCGCTTGAACCTGGGAGGTGAAGGCTGCAGTGAGCCAAGGTCACACCGCCACACTCCAGCCTGGGCAACAGAGCAAGACTGTCTCAAAAAAAAAAAATTAAAAATAATTAAAGTATTAGGATTAGGACTTTCAGATATGAATTTGGGGTTGGGGACACCATTCAGCCTATAACATCTGGGTGTTACCACTCTCCCCAACTAAAAGCAGACTGTTAAAACTGAAAAGCCCAGAAATCTGAATACATGAGCTCATTCATCCCACTAAGCACCTTTATCTGCCAGGTGTTTGAATAAAAGTGGAAGGTGAAAAGACACTGAGATGCTGAGATGAGCCAATCCTGTTTGCACAGCCCTGCCCATGGTTCCTGTTCTTTCTCTCCATAATCTAGTGTGTCAGGCTTTGGGATGGAAGAAGAGGGTGAAGGAAGAAGAAACAAAGGGAAGAAAAACTTCTTCTTTGTGAAGCTTCCAGAATGTTAGACTCCTCCTCCATCTTTGACTGTTCCATCTTTGTTTCTTTTGCTGGTTCCTCCCTTTAGCCCTGACCTCTTAAGATTGAAGCACCCCAGGGCTCATTTTAGGTTCTGTTCTTATTTACTCATTCCTATGGATATCTCATCTAATATTAGGGCTTTAAATTTCATCTCACATATGCTAATGAACCCCCATGGTTATATCTCTAGCCTAGCCATTACTCCTGAACTCCAGATTCATATATCACATACCCACTTGGTATCTCCATTTAGATGTCTATTAGGCATATCAAATAAGCACATATTAAACATCTTTCTCCTCTATTTTTTCATCAGACACACCAAATCTAATCTTTTTATTTTTATTTTATTTTCTTAAGACAAGGTCTCACTCTATCACCCAGGCTGGAGGGCAGTGGCACAATTATATCTCACTGCAGCCTCAAACTCCTGGGCTCGAGCAAGAAGTAACTTGAGCCTCCCAAGCAGGTGGGACTACAGGTATGAGTAACTGTGCTTGGCTAATTATTATTATTATTATTTTTTGTAGAGACAGGGTCTCCCTATGTTGACCTGGCTGTTCTCAAACTCCTGGCCTCACACAGTCCTCCTGCCTCAGCCTTCCAGAGTGCTGGGCTTATAAGCATGAGCCATTGCACCCAGGTAAATCTGCCCTTCTTGTGGCTGATGGAAACTCCACCCCTCTGGTTGCTTGGGTCAAAAATCTTGCAGTTATCCTTTACTCACCTCTCTCTCTCATACCTCATATCCAATCCATCAGCAGCTTTTGTGGGTATCATCTTCAAACACATAGATCCCGAACCTGCCCATATTTCTCATCACCCCAACTATAGATAGCCGTCTGTTCCCTACATCTTCACGTTATCTTCCCTCCGTACATGTCTGGTCTAAATGACCATCGTCTTGTTTCTGGATTACTACAATAACAGCTGACTTGCTTCTGTTCCCTCAACACCGCAACCAGAACAATCCTATTAAAACACAAGCCAGATCATGCCTCGTTTTCTGAAAACCCTCATGGCTTCACAACTCAAAGTCAAAGTCAGAGTTCTTACAAAGCCCCACATGATCTGCCTCCTTCCTGCACCACTGTGCCTTCATCCTGCGAATGTCCCTGATTCATCCTACTCAAGTTTCCTTGCTCTCCTTGAATACACCAGGCACACTTCTACCTCTGAACCTCTGTACTAGGTCTTCCTTCTGTCCCAAATGTCTACACACCTAACTCCATCACTGGCTTGAAGTCTTTGCTCAAATGCCACCTTCCTAAAGAGGCCTGCAGACCTGGAGTCAAAGGAGATCATTTTGGAGCTTTAAAATTTGACTGCCCCATGGATTTTGGATTTGCGTGGGCCCTTTACCCCTTTGTTTTGGCCAATTTCTCCCATTTGGAATGGCTGTATTTACCCAATACCTGTACCCCTCTGTATCTAGGAAGTAACTAGCTTGCTTTTGATTTTACAGGCTCATAGGTGGAAGGGACTTGCCTTGTCTTAGATAAGACTTTGGAGCGTGGACTTTTGGGTTAATGCTGAAATAAGACTTTGGGGAAATGTTGGGAAGGTATTATTCGTTTTGAAATGTGAGGACATGAAACTTTGAGGGACCAGGGGCAGAATGATATGGTTTGGCTGTGTCCCCACCCAAATCTCATCTTGAATTGTATTCCCATAATTCCCACATGTTGTGGGAGGAACACCGTGAGAGATCATTTGAATCATGGGGATGGTTCCCTCATACTGTTCTCGTGGTGGCAAATATGTCTCACAAGATCTGATGGTTTTATCAGGAGTTTCTGCTTTTGCATCTTCCTCATTTCTCTTGCCACCACCAGTAAGAGGGGCCATTCACCCTCCGCCATGATTCTGAGGCCTCCCCAGCCATGCGGAACTGTAAGTCCAATTAAATCTCTTTCTTTCCCCCAGTCTTGGGTATGTCTTATCAGTAGTGTGAAAATGGACTCAGACACCTACAGACCACCTGTTTAAAGCTGCAACCAATGGGCACTTCAAATCTCCCTTTCCATGTTTCACTGCTTTAACACGTGTTCTCCATTATACTCATCATCTCCTGATGTATAATTCACTGTTTTTACCTTGTATATTTGTTTTATTTTTGAGAGAGAGTCTCACTCTGTCTCCCAGGCTGAAGTGTAGTGGCATAATCTCAGCTCATTGCAACCCCCACCTCCCAGGCTCAAGTGATCCTTGCACCTCAGCCTCCCAAGTAGATGGGACTCCAGGTGCCCGCCACGATGCCCAGCTAAATTTTTTTTTGGTATGTTTTTGTAGATATGAGGTTGCTATGTTATCCAGGCTGGTCTCAAACTGAACTCAAGCAAGCTGCCCACCTTGGCCTCCCAAAGTGCTGGGACTAGAGGTGTAAGTCACTGCACCTGGCCTTACATTGTGTATGTTTTTTATTAACCTTTCTCCATTAGAATATAAACTCCACGGGGTAGGGATTGATTGTTTTGTACAATGACATATACCTAGAACAGTGCCTTGCTCACATAGTAGGTATGCAATATTTGTTGAACAAATGAAGAGAGAACATCCTAGAATGTGTTCAGAAACCAAATGGAAATAAAACTAACACAAGAATTAGTCATTCCCACCTTGACGTCTCCTCAATTCTATTTCTAACTGGCTGTGTCCTTGGACATGTTAACCTCTGCCCCATCACTGTCTAATAGAAATTTTTTTTTTTTGAGACATTCTTGCTCTGTTGCCTAGGCTGAAGCACAGTGGTACAATTTCGGCTCACCACAACCTCCACCTCCCGAGTTCAAGCGATTCTCCTGCCTCAACCTCCAAAGTAGCTGGGATTACAGGCATACGCCACCACACCCAGCTAATTTTTGTATTTTTGGTAGAGACACTCTTTCACCATGTTGGCCAGGCTGGTCTTGAACTCTTGATTTCAGGTGATCCACCTGCCTCTGTCCCCCAGAGTGCTGGGATTACAGAGGTGAGCCACCACGCCTGGCTGTATAGGACTCTCTTTAATGGCAATCACATTCTCTATCTGCAACATCCTATATGGTAGCCACTGGCTGCACAAAGCTACTAAGCACTTGAAATGCGACTAGTATGACTGAAGAACTGAATTGATTTGATTTTGATGAATTTAAATTGAGGTAGTCACAAGTGGCTAGTGGTTGTCCTATTGGACAGTGCGGGCTCATTTCCTCCCCAGACTGAGGAATGGAAGCTTGTGTGTCTAGCATCCAGCTGGCAATGACAGACACTCAGTGCACGCTCCTCCCCTGCCTCACACCACTGAAGGCCACAGGTAAGGAGCCCGACCCACACCAATGGCACAGCCCGCTACTGTGTGAGTAGAAGAACTGGAGCACTTTTTCTTTTTAACAAAGGCACATTGGTTCTATTAAACGCTTGGGGTTAGGGACGGGGAAGATCATAGAGTGATTACCCCAACCGCACAATGGGGTACAGAAGCTTAGCTCCCTTTTTCATAGGGAAGCCAGAGCACATTTTTTTTTTTTTTTTTTTTTTTCCCGAGACGGAGTTTCGCTCTTGTTACCCAGGCTGGAGTGCAATGGCGCGATCTCGGCTCACCGCAACCTCCGCCTCCTGGGTTCAGGCAATTCTCCTGCCTCAGCCTCCTGAGTAGATGGGATTACAGGCACGCACCACCATGCCCAGCTAATTTTTTGTAGTTTTAGTAGAGACGGGGTTTCACCATGTTGACCAGGATGGTCTCGATCTCTTGACCTCGTGATCCACCCGCCTCGGCCTCCCAAAGTGCTGGGATTACAGGCTTGAGCCACCGCGCCCGGCTTGCCAGAGCACATTTATAAGGGCAGGCCTGAAGAGAGAACATCTCTAGGAAGAAGCAGATGAAATAAAGGATGGCATGCAGGACTCTTTCTTACATGTGTATGTATGCCAGAATTATCACATTTTTGATGCCTTCAAACAATTCAGAAGAGCTCTGGGAGTCCTTAGAGGTACACTGAGGTCTAGGAGCTTGGAGGGGACTCAAGCAATAGACTTCTCCCCAGCAGAACTACTCTGCACTTGGCTGCTTTTCAGGGTAGAGTTTCCCGTTACAGAGTTTAAAAATCACTTGAAATCTCCCAGAAGCAAACTTTAAAAACATTGTCAATAAACATAAAACTCAACCACCCTAGCCCCAGCACACAGCATGGAAATGCTGCTCCATTAAGCTAGTTAGTTACAGGGCCACATGACTGTAGTGTCTTGGGTTGTGTTTTGAAAATCCAGCTACCTCGGGGTTCCCACTACCTAAGATCTTTAAATTCTGAACTTTAAAGCCCTGGCCTTTTCATGGATTCAGAATCAGTAATAAACAACAAGGCGTGATAATTCTTTATTAATTTAAATATAACTGACTACGGCAATAGTTCTATAACATGACGTATATTAAAGATCAAAGTCTATGCATATTGTATCAGAGACTTGGCTTGAAAAATCAAAATGACTAAGTATATTCACAAGGGTAAACCGTGCTGTATGGTAATTCTAGGTGATGAAGAAAAATAGGAAAGAACAAAGATCTTCAAGAGTCTTCTAAGACAAACCTCAAGAACACCATTGAAACTATTTTCTGGAGTTCTGTGTAAGAATTCATTTCAAAGTAACTTAAGGTTTTTATCTTAGGAGTCCGTGGGATCCTCAGCTGGAGAGGGAGGTGGGGCAGGAGGTACTCTGAGGTGGGTCCTGTGAGGGGGAGGGGCTTGTTCCCAATCCAAGTGGGAGAGCATCTTAGCTTCATCACTTTTCTGGGTGATTATCTCTTTTCTAGAAAGAAAGGGACATTGAATGTCATTTTATAAAGATAAGCTTTTTTAAAAAATAGAACAGACTCAGGGTTAGAGCAGGAGTTCACCCATCAATTAGCTTGGGTAATGCCAGCACTTTGTGAGGCTGAGGTGGGAGGATCACTTGAGCCCAGGAGTTCAAGGCCAACCTGGACAACATAGGGAGACCCTGTCTCTACAAAAAAAGACTAAAAATTAGCCAGGCATAGTGGCATGTGCCTGTAGTCCCAGCTACTCGGGAGGCCGGGGTGGGAGGATTGCTTGAGCCCAGGAGATCAAGGCTACAGTGAGCTGTGACTGCACCACTGCACTCCAGCCTGGGTGAGTAAGACCCTGTCTCAAAACAACAAAAAAGAGGGCGCAAAAGAAACATCCCAGATGCCAGCATCTAAAGAGAATAGTTAACATTTTAGAGGACTTCCTTCCAAGCTCCTCCACCCACACTCACTCTGCAGATATGAGATATATTCTATGTACACTTTAATTGTCAGTCAGCTCTCTTCAGAGTGAACTCATCTATCTCCATTGGTGCCCTGGCATGAATAGAGTTGGAGTCTACTCCCTCGCTTCTCCACCATCATCCTCCAAGCTCTCTTAGGATTAGAGCAGGAGTTCTACCCATCAAATGGGCAGCTCTCTGTACATTTCGGCGTGGGGCAGGCTGTGTCTAAACGTTTCATTTGCATTCCAGCTCTTCGTAGGGCCAGTTCAGCCCCAGGTTCACTTCACAGCTCCCTTTGGCCTAACTTGCCCACATCTGCAGGCTGCAGGGTTCACCTCCCCTTCTGCTGAGGCACACCAGGGTCTTCCCATCCTCCTCAGGGCTGGGCAAACCCTGCCTTCAAGGGCATAGGACTAGCCCGTCAAGCTTTTACAGGTTCAGATTTAACTGTTCCCTGAACACTTACTACGTTCCAGGGACTGGAAATTACCTAGAAATCAACCACATATAGAATCTCAGCCATATCTCACATTAAACCTTTGAGCTGAGGAAGCTGAGACAGAAGGTGATTTACCCAGATCATGTGACCAGTAAAAGGCAGAACTGGAATCCAAATTTAAATTTTAATCTGGCCACAAGTTCACTGCTGCCATCTCCCAATCAAAGCTGATCCCTGATGTTGCTGCGAGGATGTGGGATAATAGCAAGAGAATTGTTTGGTGCCTAGGAGAGGCCTAAAATTATGCCATCTCTTTTTTCTTGGATGGACTTCAGAGCATTGGGAGCACAGCTTCCTGCAGACAATGGCCACTCTCATGGTCTAAACCCGTGGTGTCAAATTCGCCATGCACTGCTAACAACAAAGATTTAACATTCTCGTGTATGGTAACTAAGAAAAGGTTCCTAATTCCTATCAATCTGCTAAAACCTTACATCCTAATAAACTCAAAGATCAAAGGGCATTGTAAACAATATCATATGGAAGTCTGTATTTTCTAATTTGAATCAATAATTTTGATTTTTTTTTTACCAACTTCTTAATCAGATTTAGTAAGATTATTTTTAATCTCATAATATACCCCACAAAGAGCTCAAGCTAGAGGTGTCAGCGTGGTCAGGTATAGTGGCTCTGGTCCATAATCCCCGCAATTTGGGAGGCTGAGGCAGGTAGATCACTTGAGCCAAGGAGTTTGAGACCCACATGGGCAACACGGCAAAACTCTGTTTCTATTAAAAATACAAAAAACTAACCAGACATGGTGGTGCATGGCTGTAGTCCCAGCTACTTGGGAGGGTGAGGTGGGAGGATTGCTTAAGCCCCAGGAGGCTGAGGCTGAGGCTACAGCGAGCTGTGATTGTGCCACTGAATTCCAGCCTGGGTGACAGAGTGAGACCCTGTCTCAAAAAAAACAAAAACAAAACAAAGTGATCCCCACTCGTCGCCCTCTAAAGAGCCACCAATTGAAGTTTATCCCATTACCACCCACGCAGTAAACATACACAAATGGCTGTCATCGCCCCTTGAAGGGCCATGTGGGAAAAGTCTGTTTTTCGCAATGGATGACAAAGCAGTTTCCGCTTCTGAGAAGTGTGTCTCGCAGCAGCAACTGAATACATTTAAATAAACCAGTGCCAGCTACAGTTTCAGGTGCTTGCTGGGGCTCAGTGTTATGCTCTATCCCAATCCCACAAACAATCCACAGGAAAGATTTTGGGTACCTGGTGGTCATGATGACTCTGCGCCTGGTCACCTCGGAGGTCAGGTCCTTGTAGGGGAGATTAATGGCGTTGTCCACAGGGCTTTTCTGAGCCATGGCCTTGCACTCAGGAAATTTGAGGAATTTAGGGTCACTGCAGCTGTGAATGAAAAACACAAGTGCTGGCACATATTCTTCACAGGTCAGGAATGTTCCAGGGAGGTCCAGCATGGCGCAGTTTGCAGAGGACATTCACTGCCTTACTCTCAGTGGGTCCTCCCTACAGTCTGGCCTTCATCCACACCTGTCCAGGTCAAGAGGCAGATATTTCCTCAAATCCCTACTGCAAGGAGTGGGCAGGTAAGAGTCAAGTCCCTGTTGGTTGTTTATATAGGATAAATGTGATTATTCCAATCATGCAATGGGCAGCTATCCTTACCCCCAGATAACACTGAAAAACTGGAGGCCCAGAGAGGTGAACTGAATCTCCCCAGGCTGCACAGCAGCCCTGCCCCATGCCGGTTCCCCTCTAATGGGGCCACTCCAGTTGGAGCCCTTTCCTCACAGGGCTGCTTGGCGTCGCTAACACGTGCAGAGCTTTCTTCCTGAAACAGTTACCTTCTAAAGAGCAGGAAAGGGACACAAGGCTGCAGGTGGAACCAAGCTGCTTGTCCAGGTATGCACATGGCATAGAGATTGGAGGCTTGATTTTGGTAACAGAGGTAGCAGCCACCCATTTACTGCCAGTCACCTTGGGGTGTCCTTTTACTTTGTCCCTTTTTTTGTGTGTCCCTTTTTTTGGGCTCTGTCACTCAGGCTAGACTGTAGCAGAGTAATCTCAGTTCACTGTATCCTCAGCTGGGACTACAGGTGCATCCCACCATGCCGGCTAATTACCGTATTTTTTTTAATCGACGGAGTTTCACCAGGTTGCTTGGGCTGGCCTCAAACTCCTAAGCTCAAGAAATCTGCCCTCCTCGGACTTCCAAAGTGCTGGGATTACAGGCGTGAGCCACCATGCCTGGCCCTTTTACTTCATCTTGTTTGATAACCACAGTGGCCCTACATGGTAAATATTATGATCCTCGTTCAACGAATGGGGAAACTGAGCAGTAGAGAAATTAGGTAGATTTTCAGGAGCCACAGAGCTAGAATTTGAGCCCAGGTCTGTCTGGCTTCAAAGGCTATATTCTCTCCACTACAGAACCAAGCCATCTCCAAAGAAACAGGAGGTGAATTAGATTAATTCCCATTCCTAGACACCAGGTCACACTCATGTGGTGACTCTGTCATTCTAGAGCAGGAATTGCAACAGCAGGAGTTTGCCAGCCTGGTCTTTTGGCCAGAAAGGTTTGTTCTTATAAGGATGCCCAACTGACTTACCTTTTAATCCCAGGTCAGCTTTTACGTGTCAGCTCATGGATTTGCTAAAAAATGTCCTCATGACATACTCTGTGCCCACATACCAGCTACTCCACGTTTTCGGAAAGAGAAAAGGTCAAAAATGAACCACCAGCGTCAGCGTCCTCCCCTTTCATCCTCCCGTAGTCAGTCTCTCTGAGGAACTTGGGTTAATCAGATTGATTTGCGCCCTTAAAAAGCAACAGCTGACACAATTTATCCCTGCAACCATGTCCTTGAGAAATCCCCACAGATCTTGCAGGGAGAGGATGGGTCCTGCGGGCAGAGCAGGGGAAGAGCTTTCTGCCACGTGGGCAATGGGGAAGCACTATCTTAGATGCTGGTAAATACGACATTGTGACCTAGCCTCTTTATTGACTACTTTTTAAAAAGCGAATTCAGGTACACCCCTTCTCCCAGCGCCATCACAATCACTGATCTCACCTGTTCCTGATAATTCACAGCACTCTGCTATGCTGGCAGGTTTTTCAGCTCTGAAATTAAAGGAGTTGATTGTGCAACTCCCACTTTTATCTGAGTGATCTTGGGCAAGACATTTAAGCTCTAGAAGCCTTAGTTTTCTTACTTGTAAAAGAGGAATAATACTATCTTCTAGGGCAGTTATGAGGGTTCAGAAGATATTTGCAAAAATCCCTAATTTGCCTTTCTTGCATTTTTTTTAATTTTTAAAATATATTATTATTATTGAGGCAGGGTCTCTGCCACCCAGGCTGAAGTGCAGTGGTGAGATTACAGCTCACTGCCGCCTTGAACTCCTTGTTAGATAGAGTGAACACCAAGTTTCTCTTCAAAGAATCAGTACGTTCAGCTCTCTTATTCTTTAATTCTCTACTTTAAAGTTTAACTTCCTTGTAATTTCAGTAAACAACCTTTTCCACCAGTTCTAATCAGTAGTTTACATCTGTTCGCCTGGTCCTCTGCCCCTTCCTGACTCATCCTGGTCACCTGCTCCAGTCACCTGCTTTGACCCCTTCTTATCTGCTCTGACCTGCCGGTAACCGTCCTTCCCGCCAAGCTACCCAACCCCCCTAACCCCCCCACTCCAGCTCATATACCTGCCCCCTTTAAAATGGCCAATCGAAATTAGACTAGACTGTGCAATCTGACACTAGCCAATACGGGAATGACACAGCAGTAGGGGCAACCTCATTCAGGGCATAAGTACCTCTTCCCCTCCTTGTCCAGGTGTGCACTTGCCTTTGTTCCATCTGTGAGCCGCACCCTCCTATAGAAGTAAATTGCCCTGCTGAGGAAATTTATATTCGAGTGCTACTTCTTTGGCAGCATCGAAAATTCTACTCATAACATCCTGGATCCAGCCTGGTGGGAGGATCACCTGAAGCCATCTCAAGTAATCTCAGCCAGTTCAAGGCTGCAGTCTATTTCTTTATATTGATGATAAAACCACAATAGAAGGAATGTGCTATTTGGGAGGACAAGATGTAATGCCCATCGACAATAGACTGGATAGGGAAAATGTGGCACATATACACCATGGAATATTATGCAGCCATCAAAAACGATGAGTTTGGGTCCTTTGTAGGGACATGGATGAACCTGGAAACCATCATTCTCAGCAAACTGACAGAAGGGCAAAAGATCAAACACCGCATGTTCTCACTCATAGGCGGGTGTTGAACAATGAGAACACATGGACCCCAGTGTGTAGTGCTCCCCTCCCTGTGTCCATGT